CTTAACGTATTGATGAGACTATAATTATGGGGAGGTTAAATTTTTTTTCTCCCCTGCTGTGGACATGCCTCTGCTGTTCCCTCTTTACTTACAATAAAAAGATCCTTAAGGGAGAGGTATCAAGTGAATAATTAGGGGGTCCCTGGAGGAGGGGTTACCCCATCTTTTCAGGTATCAGCCCATGAAACAGGATAAATGTGAGAGATGAGAGCTGCCCTGCTCTGGGTCTACTGAATGGAAGGGGCTTTCCTGGGAATAACGGTGATGTAATTGAATAGTGAACTCACTGAAACCCGAATCCTCTTGTTTTCCCAGTGGGTTTGGGTCAGGGTCCCTGTTCTGTTTCTTAAGTGGATACTTAATAATCCTGATATGTCAACAAGGACCATAACGAATGTTTATTGAGTGCCAAGCACTTTGCTAAACACTTGAGATAGTCTCTCTTTTAACCCCCACAACAACCCAATGAAGTACCGTGGTTATTATTCCCATTTTACAGATGGGAAAGTGGAGGCTCACAGAGGTGAAAAATGGGCCCAAGGTACCTAGCTACTGCATGGTGGGGCTAGGGTTCGAACCCAGGTCTCTCTGGCTCGGAGTGTCGAACCACTCCGCGATGACGCTGACTTTGATTCAAGAAGTCTGCTGTTCACCAAGCTGACTCCTGGCATCGAATCTGGCCTTGGCATCAATACATGGCTTCAGGAAACACAGCTGTTTGGAGGCGGCAACAGCTGTTCATTCATTTACCACTTCACCAAGCCACACGAATTAAAACACCATAAGGTAAGGCTCACTTGGTCTCCAACACCAGGATAGGTAATTATTGTTTTAATTAAAGAAAAGAAATCCCCCCTCCCTTCCTGCTCAAAACACGTGAGCATTGATTTCTATAGGAGATAAGGACATGATTTGGGACAAGAAATTGTGTTATTGATGATAACAATTCTGTGTACATCACTGTGTATGTCTGAAAGGCAAATGGGAATGCTTAGCATTCATTCACTCCTCGTTCATTCATTCATTCATCCATCCATTCATTAATTCCTTGAGTCTTCCTTTCATCAAATATTTATCGAACACCTGCTATGTGCCCTGCCCAATTTTAAGCACTGGGGTACCAGAGGAAGCCTTTAGGGACTAGAAAAATCTGTCCTATTTCTTCACTCTAGGAAACAGAGGTTGTACATCCTTGCAACTGGTAGGGAACGTTTTCTCTGAATAAAGGAATTAACTGGATTTCCTGAACTGTTTCTCAAAATAACCCCCCTAAAACAACTCCTCCCTTAAACGTCTCCAACAGGGCATGAAACAAAAAAAAAAAAAAGAAGGGGAACAGGTGAACAGTCCCCAGGACTCAGCCCTTCTCAAGAACCCAGAAAGCTGTGCAAGCACATGCTGCCAGTCACAGCAGCCACAGTCGGGTGAATATCTGCTTCTAACATCCCTTTTCGGACAGTCCTCTGCCCTCGTCGCCTCTGTATTCGTTTGCTAAGGTTGTCATAACAAAGTGCCGCAGGCTGAGCGGCTGAAACTGCAGAAAGTTATTTTCTCACGATTCTGGAGGCTGGAAGTCCGAGATCGAGGGATGGGCAGGGTGGGTTTCTTCTGAGGCCTCTCTCCTTAGCTTGCAGATGCCACCTTCTTGCGCCCCTGGTGTCTCTCCGTTTTTAAAAATAAGGACACCCCCGTCATATTGGATTAGGGCCCCACTCTAATGACTTCATTTAACTTCACTACAGTCACAGTTTTGAGGTACAGTCTCCAAATACAGTCACATTTGAGGTTCTGGGGCTTAGGACTTCCACAGAAAACCTGGGATGAGGAGGGGGGGAAACACAATTCAGCCCAGGACAGCCTCCCTCCCTCTTCCCAAATCCCGGATGATGAAATAATACTAAAGAGCCCACTATCTCAGGTCAGACAGCTATATGACCTTGGAACAATGATTTAAGTGCTCTAGCTCAGTTTAGTCATCCACAATATAGGACTCATACCAGTACCTGTTCCATGACACAGAGTTGTTAGGAGGGTTAAACGAGTTAGTATGTCTAAGGCACTTAGAACAGTGCCTAGCACAGGGTAAGCACTATATAAGCGTTTATTAAATTAAGCATTAAAATAAAAAACTTGGGGCCGGCCAGGTGGTTCAGTTGGTTAGAGCGTGAACTCAGAGCAACAGGGTCGCCGGTTTGATTCCCACATGGGCCAGTGAGCTGTGCCCAAGCTGAGCTGCTGCTGAGCTGCCAACGGGTGGCCAGATGACTCAGCTGGTGAGAGCACATGCTCCTAACACCAAGGTTGCCAGTTCAACTCCCTCATGGGATGGTGGGCTGTGCCCCCCGCAACTAGATTGAAAGCGGCGACTGAACTTGGGGCTGAGCTGTGCCCTCCACAACTAAGTTTGAAGGACAACAACTTGACTTGGAGCTGATGGGTCCTGGAAAAACACAATGTTCCCCTTCCCCAATTCCCCAATAAAAATCTTTAAAAAAAAAAACCAACTCATTTTTTTCTAATGTGTTAGGAGAGCATTCTGTTGTTATTCTCCCAAAGTATTTGCCGTTTCTGGGCAATACTTAACATCAGTGATAGAATCACCAACTCACAATAGGGGAACCCTAGATACTATTATATTTGAGGGTGCGGGCCCTCCAACGTTCTTCAAAGCACCCTGTTTAGTGACTCCATGATCTACTTAAACTTATGAACGGTAGCCAACATTGATTAAATGCTGATGATGTGGCGGACACCGTGCTAAGGGCTTTACCAGTATGATTTTATTTAACTCTGTGAGGTAGGTACTGTTATTATTCCCACTTTACAGTTGAGGAAAATAGAGGCTCCAAAAGCCCCGTCTCCAGGCCGCGTTCCCCATACAGTGAATGGTGGGGATAGGCCAGAACTGCAGTGTGTGCAAATCAGGGCCTGTCAGATGACAAGTGTGTATGGGGGTGGGGGAGACCTTCTCTTTCCCCCTCATTTTCCCATCACCCTCATCTCTTCTCCCTCTGCTGAATAGCACGTCCCCATGGCCAAGGCTGTACTCTCTTTGCTACAGAAAACATCCAAACGGCTGGGACCCGACCCAGCGCCACCTTGCGAGCCCAGCATTTCAAGGGGCAGGCTTCCAAACAGGGTAATAATCGTCCCATTAAAATTAATGTCCATGAAGTGAGCCGTTAAAAGCGTGCAGATTAAAAAAAAAGGGGGGGGTGGCGGCGAGGAGGGAACTGTTCAATTTAAATCCAAAGGGCTTTTTAAATAGACACTGTATCTTCATTCTTGGAACACCACACCCTGCAATGGCTCAGGTCCCCTCTGCAAAGACTAGTGGGGATTAAGGAGGTGAGTCCCAAGAGAATGGGGGAAGTGGTTCTGGCCAGAAGCAAAGGGAACCAAGGTTTATCTGGGGCCCACTGCATGCCAGGTGCTTGGCACACGTTTTTCTCATTTAATCTCTGCTGCCCTGATCCTGAAAAGGAGGTATTATTATTCCCAGATTACAGGGGGCAGTATAAAACCGTGGTTAAGAGCTGAGAGCCTGCTGCAGACTGCCCTAATTTAGATCCAGGTTCATTCTTCACAAACTGAGTTTGGGCAAGGGGCCTCACCTCCCTATGCCTCATTTTCTTGATCTGTAAAATAGGATAGTAATAGCACTCCTCTCCTCCCCTCCCCCAACTGTTGGGAGATTTCCTTTAGGCAGCTAGGCAGGGACCATAGCCCAGGAAACTACACAGAAAGAAAGTGTTGACCGTGATTAAGGGTAAGAGAATGGGGCTGGGTGACAGCAGGGGCCACCAAGATCAAATAGCACAGCTGGCATCTGAGCCCTGACATGCTGCAGGCCAAGGGGAAATCTCTCCTCCTAGTAAATCCAGCTCCAAACTAAGTTCAGTGTCTTGAAGAATTTTTTCCAAGTGGTCCAAGGACTCAACAGGCCTTGGCAACACTGCCCGTGGGAAGCAGAGAATCCAAGATTCCTCATTTCTGAATCTCAAAGTTATCTGAATCCTAATGGATTTAAGATCGGAGAAAGTCTTAGGGATAACGCCACACTCTCTAGTCGGGAGGGACATAGGGCAGTCGGTTTGGAGAGAGAGGGGCTAGTGTCCCCGTGGACCCCCCAACCCCCGTCGACCCTTTTGGGTCTCTACTGCGCATCAAATCGTGATTGTCGCTAGAAACTGTAACCCAGACAGCAAAATAATATTCACAAAGGAAGCCGACAAAAATAAGTTTCCTTCTAGAAAGCCCCTGGTGAGGGTCTTTCCGTTGCGAGTGCGGTGCGCAGAGAACGCGTGCCTCCGAACCCCGCGGGGGCTCAGGACCGACCTCTCCAACCCCCACCCCGCCTCCGTCAAGGTTTCTAGTTGCGCTGGGGGCGCGTTCGGTCTGGCCGCGAAGCGCAGAGGGGGCGTGGGGGCGTGTGTCCGGTGTGTTCAAATCCGAAGCCTACAGGTGCCGAGTCAGACCTGAAAGTAGGCAGGTTGGGTTGAATCTGGCCTTCTCGTAAGATTTTGGACCAGCCCACCTCCCCAAAACAAAACAATAGCCTCGGACTATTTTTGAATAATACAGCCGAATTCGATACCAGCTTTATCCAAAACGGAAACAAGCCTGCTTCCCTGGCCAAATTGGAAATGGAGCTGAATTCAGAAAAATCGGAAGGAGAAAAACCTTTCCTGGCGTTCCACGCCTCCTCGGGGGGTCCCCTGCGACACCCCCCGCCCTAGCCCAGGACCTCCGCGGCGAGGCGCCCTATCGCGCGCGTCCCAGCGCGCCGCGCTCTTCTGCTCCCAAACCGTGCGCCCCCTCGCTGCCGGCGCCGCTAGGGTTAAAAGTTACCTCTCGGTTTCTTCTGCCTGCAGCCCCCCCCTCCCGGGGCCGGATGATGTAACCCCCCTCCCCAGCCCTCCCCGCCCCCCTCCACCATGTGACACTTTAATTAATAATAGCGCCGTCAGCACAACAAACGCACAACACAAGGAGAAACTTGGTGTCCAGGGGAGGTCCCCGGCGGCTGGAGCGCGGCGGAGGCAGGCGCAGAGGCCGGAGGGAGAGGAGGCGAGGGGCGGCCCGAGAGCGGGGAGGGAGAGAGGCGAGCGGTCATGTGCCCGTGCCCCCTGCACCGCGGCCGCGGCCCCCCGGCCGTGTGCGCCTGCAGCGCGGGCCGCCTGGGTCTGCGCTCGTCCGCTGCGCAGCTCACCGCCGCCCGGCTCAAGGCGCTCGGCGACGAGCTGCACCAGCGCACCATGTGGCGGCGCCGCGCGCGGAGCCGGAGGGCGCCGGCGCCCGGCGCGCTCCCCACCTACTGGCCCTGGCTGTGCGCGGCCGCGCAGGTGGCGGCGCTGGCGGCCTGGCTGCTCGGCAGGCGGAACTTGTAGGAACGCGGGGCTTCTTGGTGGGGCCGGAGCCGAGACCCAGCCGGAGCGAGCAACAGGTACGCAAGCCAGCCAGCGAGCGCCAGGGCGCGGCAGCTGGGGACTGGAGACGCTAGGCTGGCCAGGGAGCGGGAGAGCGGCAAGTTTGGCTTTCTTCCCTTCCCATCTCCTTCCTCTACTCCCTTCTCTCGCAAGGATCTCCGTGCCCCTCCCATCCAGTCCCCATCTCTCCTTCCAAGTGTCAGGTCCACCGCTTCTGTCCCCTTCTCTCCGACTCCTTAAGCGCATCTTACCACTCCCTCCAAAGGGGTGGCTTTTGGAGGACTTCAGCCCCAATCCCCACCAGTCCCTCAAGTAAACACGCAAGTCAAAAGGGTGCTTGCTGTGACAACGTAGTGACAAGCCATGCCAAATAATTATAATCGATCGCGGTTTCAAGACAAGTCCTCCATCCTCTTCCAAGCCGCCTGGCGGTCCTAAGTCGCCACCGTCTCCATCATCTCCACTCCAAACCCCTTTCTCCCTAAGTGTCACTTCTTCAGTTTCTGTTTCCTATTCTTTCGCGCCCGGAGCGTAGCTCGCGTCCCCCCCCCCCCCAGGTTTCTGGCTGGCTCTCTTTCTCCCAAAGGCCCAACCATTTTGCAGTTTTCCTCCGCTCTGCCAACTTCTTCGCTCTTTCTCCAGAGAGGTGTCCCGTTTAAGGATCGTGGCCCACGCTTCACCAGACGGTTGGAGCTGAGCTGGAGGAGATGCCCCCCGAAGTGGGCTGGGATCTGGGGTTCTTAGGGACTAACTCCATGGGGAAGCCTTAATGAAAGGGCATTTATGGAGCTCCTGCTGGGTGCTAGGCCCTGTTTAGGGAGGGAATGTTTGAGAGCTTGCAGAATGCTCTGCACTGCGTGGGGGTGGGGGTGGGGAGTGAGTATTGAGCGCCTATCGTGTTTGGTGCCAGTGGGAGAGAGGTCCTGAGCACCTACTGTGCGCTAGGCCCTTGGGGTTGGGGAATTATTCAGCACCTGCTGTGTGCCTGGCACTGTGTTAGGCGCGTTGGGGGAGCAAACATGTAAGGAACGTCTTTTCAGATTCTGGATTAGAGAAAAGAGCAGAGAATGGGGTGGAGAGAATCAGGCCGAGTCCACCCTAGGCAGATCTAGGACGGGAAGGTGAAGGTCGAAGGTGAGAAAGCCAGGGACAGCAAGATGCCACGGCCCACGATGCCCCGCGCGCTCGGGTCGCGTCTGAGCCCCGCCGAGTGCCGACATCCTGGGAAGCTGGCGCGGCGCCCGGAGGCGAGGCCCGAGCGTCTGCGCCCGCGGGGAGAGGCGGCAGCCGGAGCGTGGGGGGTGGCAGCGCCCCGGGAGCTGCGGGGGTGCGCAGGGTGTGAGCCGGGAGCGCAGGCGACAGATGTCGCGTGGGCCTGCGCAGCACGGGCTCTGGCGAAGAGGTGCGCGCTTCGGGGCGCTCCCTGCCCGTCTCCTTGAGGTCCCATACGCTACTCTGTCTCCGGAAAGAGGGTCTTCCCCGACCGGTAGAGGCCAGGCTGGGGCTGCCAAGTCTTCCAGGGGAGAGGAACAACATTGTGCACCGGGCGCAGGGCGAAAAAGGGAGTCGAGAGAGAGAGATGCGAAGCCCAAAGCGTGGAATTTGGGGAAAAGAGGGAAAAAAGGTGGCAGGAGAAGGAAAGAAAAAAAATGGGTGGCGAGACGGGGAAAGAAAGCAAGGTCGGGGGAGCTGGGGAGAAAAGCCTGCTTGGAGAGCAAGTTGCACGATAGTAGGAAAGTGGGTTAGAAGGAAAGATGGGAAGCTAGAGAAATCCAGGAGAAACTGGGAGGCGGGCTGACACGGCTTCCACCGGTCTTGGGGTCCAGGTGAGGGTTGGGAGCGCGTTCCCTTCCCAGGAAAACGCGGTGTGGGATGCTGGGCGACCCACCCTGGGGGCGGGGAACGCCCGGCCAGAGCCCCACTGTGCGCTTCAGGGCTGGAGGTGTTCCCGGGACCCCAAGGAGGAGACTGCCGGCCCATGCGACATGTGAGGGGGACGGAGAGGAGTTTCGCTGGTGCGGCGTCGGCAGATCATTGTCGCCGTAGAGTTTGTTTTCCCCTTCCTTACTCTGCTTCTGCGCCAGAGTTCGGTACTGTGTCCTGACTGCAGGCCACTCCCTCACCACATTCCTGGATTCCCCACCCGCCCTCTGCGTCCCGCTCGGGCGTCCCCAGCAGCCACACCCTCCAGGATTCTCCCGCCTGGGGTGCCCTGACCTCAGGATGCCCCCCACGGCTTCCTCCAGCGCCTCCCCTCACTCCCTCAGGACACCGGTAGGATTGTGTACTCCATCCAGGGGTTCCCCTTGCTCAGGCTCCCAACCTTGGTCCCTCACCCACCGCCTGCTACCTGCAGCGCGCGCCTTCTCTTGTGTTTTTGGCTTAATTGGGGAAACCCATCTTTCTCCAGCCTCTGGTAAGTTATGAGGAAGTGAAAGGAAATCCACGGGGAGAAAGGCTATTTGCTGAGTTCTGTGTGTGGTCGGCTCCACTGTTCCTACCCTAGGGGAGAAATGGGAACCCTCATAGGATACCTGGGGTCAGAGAGGCCTGAGACAGCCATATCGGACAGACAAGTCTTCTCTGAGGCATTAAGGGGGAGCTTAGATGTATGCAGGACAACAGTGTCAGCAATCTGGTTTTGAGCCTCTCCTGTGAGCCCGCAATACTTTCCTCAGAAGTCATCATTAAAAAAAAAACCCCAAAAACCAAAAACCTGAGGCTCAGTTTTCCCGTATGTACAATGGGGACAATAATAGTACTTAATAGTACATAGATGTCAAGAGAGTAAAATAAATTTACACACAGAAAGCTCTAGAACAGTGCCTGGCATATAAAAAGTGGACATCAATGTGAAATACTGGAACTATGATTGTGTATTTCCTTCTTTCCCAAAGTAGACAACATTTTGCCCTTGTCATTTGCTGGCAAATTCCACCCCATTCCTATTTGCCCTTTTGGAGAATTAGGGCTAGATGGGCCAGGAGAATAAAACGCATGGGTTTAGGGATCAGATGGAAATGGATTTAAGTCCCAGCCTAGGAACTTGCTGGCAGTGTGACCTTGGGTAAGACCCATCACCTCTCTGAGCCTTTATCTATAAACTGGAGCTGTACTTCTTTTAGGGTTGTTGGGAGCATGAGAGGAGCGCATCCATTTAAAGTGCCCAGTGCAGTGCCTGGCACTTAGTTCACTCCACAGAGGATGTTATGAAATGGTGAATGCTATTCTTATTGTCTCAGAGGGGAGACTGAGGCAGAGAGAGTCCACCTGAGTCCTCCCAAAGGATCAGTGGCAAAGTCAGAAGTGGAACTGGAGTTCCTGTCTTTGAGGGCCTGCAGCATGCAGCCTCCCAGATGACTTGGGAAGTGCAAGAGATGAGAAACACTGGGCCGCAAGCAGAGGGGGCAGTGAGCCCTGAATTCCTGCACTAGAGAGATTCCACTTCTGAGAGGGCCTCCCTGGGAGGCTCCTGGGAGGCTGGGGAGGCCACGAGGGGGGTGGGTGCGATTTAACCAGTCACTGTTCTAAGATAGGGGAGAGAGGGAACAAAAGATGTTTTATGGCGAGTGCTGGCTGGCGGAGGCATGAGAGGGAGGGAGGAAGTGTGCCTTGGGAGGGGTGCGGGGAGGGAGAGAATGGAGCTGAGAAATCTGCCTGAGAGAGGGGGCTGAGGTGGGAAGGCTCTTGCCTTGGGACTAGGAAGAAGAAGGGGAGAAAAAGGGGATTCAGAGGCGACATGGTCCGGAGCAAGGAAGATAATGGGCCAACAGGAGCCTGCTGTCATGAATTAATGACGGCCTGGCCCACCAGCCAGACATGCTAACTGGCTCTTGGCAGGTACTTTGGGGATTAAGTGGTTAAACCTGGAGGCGCATCTCTCAGGCCTCCCTTCCAGCCGGCTGCACCCCTGCCAGCATTACTTTTAGAGCTTGAAAGCCTAGGCGAGGGAGAGAGCAGAGCGGAAGGAGACAGCTGTTGGGGAGGAACCCCCGGGAAGGGGCCAGATGTGCAGCCTTCCTGCCACATGGTCCCTGTCTGGAGTCACCCGCCTGCCCAGTGAGAGGCCAGGGCACAAGTGACTGAGCCGTGGATATAAAAACAGCCATGCCTGGGAACAATTCAAGACTCCCCCAGATGTGGACTGGGTGAATTTGGCAACTGCACCTCTGGTTTTCGAAAAGTCAGCTTCTCAGACCTATATTAGGGGTAAGGAGGAGCAGAGTGGGGGGCTTCTGTCATCACCATGTGTGAGAGGATTTCCCCACAGTGTCCCTAGCCCCTGGTGACTTGCTTGTCATATAGTAGGTGTACAATAACTATGTCATGAATACAGGAATCAAATCAGAATCTATGCAAGACAGGTAATATCGTTTCCGAAATTCAACTTCTTTCACTTAGTCACCTAGTAATTATCAAGTGCCTACTGTGCACAGGGCACCGTGGACACAGGAAGGGCCAAGATATAGAAGCCCCTGCTCTCATGAAGCCCACGTTTTAGTCGGAAGAGCCAAACGCCTAAGTCAATAAAGATTGTTTTGGTTACGTTGCAGTGTAACCAATTACTCCAAAACTTAGTGGCTTAGTGGCTTGAATATGCTTATACATTCTGTGAGTTAGGAATTCACACAGGCATAGCCAGGGTGACTCCTGTCTGCTCCAGGCTGGCTGGGGGCTGGAATCACGGTGGGGGGCCCTTGGTTTACAGATCTGGTTGCTGATGCTGGGTACCAGCTGGGACTGCCAATCACAGCATCTGCACGCAGCCTCCTCTTGAGACCTGGGCTTCCTGGCAGCATGGCAGCCTCATGGCTATTAGATTCTGACACGGGGACTCAGAGCTCCACAATCAAAGGTCCTGGGGGAGCGGGTGGGGGCTAGGTGGAAGCTGCTTGGCCTTTTCTGACCAAGCTTCAGAAGTCAGCTTTGGTTAGAAGCAAGTCACACGACTGCCCAGATTCAAGGAGAGTGTCACTAGATGCTATCCAATGGGGGAGTGGAAAGGCTCTAGACCAGC